CAGATTCCAACACTAAAAGCCTTGGCTGTGGAACACCTCCCAAAGCACAACCTGAAGTTCACCTAGGGGGGAAAAAAGCCATTAGTGGCAAAGAGACAAACATATCATTTCACCCCTGCTTGTAAAAAGCCCTCACACGAGAATGACTAAGTGCTCTGAAAACCCACACCTCCCCTGTTTGTTTCTAATTTTGCATGCTTAGGCATGTCTGCACAGCACAACACTAATGACATGGCTTAGGACCATCACAGCAAAATGCATCCTGACACTCCTTCTGACACAGAAATAGGAAATCTAATCTTCCTTAGGAAAATGAGATTTGAAAAACCTCATAAGTGCTCATTTGTATGTTCTCACATCTTTAAAAATATACAATAACTTCATTTGACATCACACCAGGACAGGCAAGAGGTTGCAGCAGCGGTAACAGCCGAGGAACACCTCTCACAGCTCCCTTGTTCCTGCCATAGCAGCCTCACCTCTTCCAACACAGCTGCTTGTGCACACACACACTTCCCTAATCCCTTTGTAAAATATCACATCTGCTCACCCACAGGCTCTTACAGGGGTCTGAAGGCAGAAAATACTGTAAAATACTGTAAAATACTGTACCCCAGTGTCTATGGCAAGAGCACATATGCCATTAAACCACGATCTCAGCTCTTGCGATGCAGTTCCAGTGATGTCCCACTTTCTCAAGCTTCATTCTTGCATCACATTTTCATTAGGGAAATTTTCCAAACAATGTTACCATCACTAACAGCAGCACAAGGTCAGTAATGATGCAAGAACATGAGAGCTCTGAACATCGTGCTGTAAAAGATGATAGCTGACACAATGAGCTCTTTCATCTACAGATATTTTTAAAGATCTTCAGACCCGAATTTCAATATTAGAAATAAGCAGAAGAACTAAGAAAACAGATACCTGAATTTATTAACTAATCTTCAATCTCAAAGGAAAATCACAACTGTACTACTTATCATTCTTCTAAAACAAAAATTGTTTAGCTAAAATCACAAACAACACTGATATATTGAGACATTGCCAACCAAAAATAATACCTGCACAGAAACCAGCTTTATAAACCCTGTACTGATCTTTCCAGGAAATTTTCTAATGCAGCCTGCCAGGTTTAGCCAATATCTTTCAACTTGCAAGGCAATTTCAGAATTAATCTGACTTTACTGGCTCATGTTGGTAAACAGGAAATAGAAGCTGGACTCTAGCCCACTGCTTCTCAAGAAATTACTGTGTGCAATAACCAATACACCATACACTCATCAGTTCATACTCCAATTTCTACTCATTTTTCAAGATGGTACAAAAGAAACTGCAGAAAATTAAACACAGGCTACCAACAGCCAATTGTAATTTATGTCTGGTGTGGTGCTACACACATCAAGCTACAGATCAGAACTAAAGAAAAGGAAAAGAAAAAATCACATTTGTGTAACGTATTGCTACTTACACTCACCTGTTTCAACAACATAATCTCATTCATTCAGTTGAAATTTTTCTTTGGAAAGCAGGAGCAGCTAACACAAGCAACACTGCAACCCAAAAGCTCTTCTTTCTTATCTTGCCAACTTTGGACTACATTCATGACTTAACTAGGCAAAGATGAAAGGAGTACTACCATAATAATAAAAAACTGACCAGCATGACCATTTTATTTTATAATTACTTCTTTCCTTGCTATACTGAATAAGGTGCCGAAAAATGAAAACTGTCCAAAGCAAATTTGTAAACACTGAGTTCAGGTCAAACCTTGCTCCTCAAAACTTGATGGGGAATCGGAGCAACGGCAGGCAGCACATGCTGGGTGCATCAGGAAAAGTGCAGGATTCTTAAACAGCAAGGACAGCTGAAGACCACTGCTGGCATACCTGGACTAACTAGGCATGTTACAATTAAAGCAAGATTTCGTGTAATTCAAATAACAAACCACAAGGCTGTGCACATTCTCAAGTGTGAGATTTTTACGGATGGCTCCTGCCCAGCCGAGAATACATCTTGATGATGTTTCAGCCCAGGAGAGGTCCCCTCTCCAGAGACATGCTTTTGATTACAAGAAATGAGCTGCCTATGAGAAGGCTGAGAATAAATCAAGCGCATTTCCCAAACTGTGAACCATCCTCGCCGCATCGGTAAAACCCTTTGTGAGCGGCCACACTTAGCAGGTGACATCCGCTCCTCGGCAGGAGCCACGGCGACATGCGGGCAGCGCTCCCCGCCTCCGCTCAGGTGCACACCCGGCATCCCGGGGCTCCCAGGGGAGCTCCGGCCCGGCGGGAGCTGCCGCTGCCGGACCCGCACCGCGGAGCGGAGCCGAGCTCCGGGCCCGCCGCCGCACGGGGGGCACGGCACGGACCCCCGCCCCGCCCGCGCAGCATCCCCGGGCACGGGGCACAGCAGCAGCCCCGGCTGGAGACGCCGCCCGGCTGACCCCGCTCCGCGGGCCCCCCGGAGGAGCGGGACGGCCGGAGGAGGCCCTGCGGGGACCCGCCGCCCGCCACCACCGGGGCCTCACCCTTGCTCGTCCTCCTCGCAGGCCTGGCTGGGCTGTCGCGCCCCCACGGCCGCTCCCGACGTAGCCTTGCTGCCGCTCTTCTTCAGGATGCCCTTGATGGGCCCCCGCCGCGTCGCCGAGGCGTCCGGTACCGACGGCTCCTCCATGGCCGCGCCGCCCGCCCGGTTCCGCCGCCGCCGCCGCCGCCACCGCCCCGGCCAGGCCCGCCCCGCGCCGGCGCCTCAGCCCGCGCGCCTGCGCCCCCTGGCGGCCGGCGGACCGACAGCGCCCCCTGCTGCCGTGAGGTGGCGCGACCGCGAGGGGGCGCTCTGCGTGCGCGGGGAGCACGGGCAGGGACACGGGGATGGAAGGACACACGGACACAGGGACAGACGGACACGGAGATCGAGGGACACACGGACAGAGGGAGACACGGACACGGAGATAGAGGGACACACGGACAGAGGGAGACACGGACAGAGGGACACACGGACACGGACAGGAGACACGGACACTGGGATAGAGGGACACACGGACACGGCACGGACACGGAGACACAGGCACAGAGATACAGGGACACACAGGCACACGGACACAGAATCACGGAATCGGTCAGGTCAGAAGGGGTCACATTGCACAGGATTGTGTCCAGGTTGTTCTTGAATGTGTCCAGTGATGGAAACTTCACAGCCTCTCTGGGCAATCTGTCCTAGTGCTCCATTACCTGCACAGTAAAGAAGTTCTTCCTCATATTCAGGTGACATTTCCTGTGCATCACTTGCTGCCTATTGCCTCTCATCCTAGTAGTTGGTACTACTGAGAAGAGCCTGGCTCCATCTTGTTGGCATCTCCCGTTCAGATCCACACCTCCTTTGATGAGGACACACGGACACAGAGGCCTGGCGTGTGCACAGTCCGGTGTGTGCTGCCCTGGAGGTGTCTGCACACCCACGGAGCTCTTGGGGCTGTTTGGGGCTGGTGCCTGCTTGGCACTCCCACCCACACCCGAGGGTCTGGCACGTGCAGGGTGTCCCACGCGTGCTGTTGTGCTGGGGACACGAGCTGGCAGTGGCAGGGCAGGCTGCAGCTGGGCTGTAGTGTCCCCAAGCTCTCTGTGCTGCCATGCAGAGGTGCCCCCAGCACACCGTGTTTGCCAGGGCTGCCCGGGTTTGTCACGGTGTCTGTGGCACAGCAAAGGAGCCAGCGTGGTCCCCAGAGGGCCCAGGCATGGCAGGGGTTTGTCTGTGAGTGAAACATTCCCATTTCTCAGCCACACTGGAGATCCCAGTTCCCAGCCAGATCCAGTGCTGGGCAGTGCTTGCCCTGCCCATGGGGCTGCAGGGTCCCACCCCTGGGGCTCAGTGCCTGCACAGCCACCGTGCCATGGGCTTGCATCACACACAATGAGGGCTACGGCAGCACCATCCATGTGAGAAGGAAAATAGGAACCTGACAAAGCAGTGATGAAATTATTACACCCAGAATCTGACATACTTGGGAACAACTGGGCAGTTGTTTGTATCCTGGCACATCCATCATCCTTATAGCCTGAAAAATTGGGTGGAGTGTTTAATTCTGTGCCACAGGAACTGTGGCATTAGGATTTGGAAGTTTAAAGGGATAATGACTTCAACATAGCAGTTGTTTCTGGTCCCTCCCATCCTGGCCTCCTCTGACTGGTAAAGATTAGTGACATACTGGCTTCCTGCTCCTGTAGCTCTCCCAGGGCAAGAAAGTGCTCTGCAGCACACCCACACCACCAGGGTCCCACCAAAGTAAGTGTAGAATGCTTCCTGCAGATTTACAGCATTCAACATCCATGTCATTATTTCTTCATGTCAGTAAAAGCAGCAGGAGATGGAGGTCACTGTCAGCCAAAGCCACAACACAAATTTGCTGACAGGACTCAGGCAATGAGGAGTGCCCATACATCCGACCCTGGAGAGCTGGAGAACAAACCATTTCCCTTCAGCACTGGCTGTCGTATTCACTGCAGCCCCAGAGGAGGAGCAGGCCCCACACACTGAGCCCCCGAGCCTGCTGGCAAAAGCTGTGCAGCTGGGAGGGTACAAAAGGCCTGAAGCAGGTATTTTTATTTCATTTTTAATGAGTTGCATGAGTGCTATCCAAGCAGAGCTGTCGTGGTGCCTGCTGAGCCCCTGCCAGGGCAGATGCAGCACCAGCGGCACTGGCACATGCAGCAGCAGTGCAGGATGTCAGGCACAGCCTCCTGTCTCCTGCTGTTCAGGGAAAAGCCTCTGGAAGACAGAACAAGGGAGCAGCCCCATTCTCTTTATGTCTGCTTACACATACAGTCAGAGCTGGCCCCTTGGACCAGCCTCATTAGAGGCAAGAGGAGGACACATAGACATTGGGGATGGAGTGATGCTGAATCCCTGGAAATTTTTAGATTTAAAAGATAAAGGGCAAGATCTGATTTCTGGCAAGGAGGTCTGCTGACTTCAAATACCTACAGCCCTGCATTGGAAAACTCTCAAGACCCCCAGCCTCAGGACTGTTCCCAGGCTGCAGGACTGACCCACCATGTCTGGATGTTGCTATGCTAAGGCAGTGCCCACAGTGTAGCTCAGACACTGCAGATTCCTGGCAGGCCCAGAGGCATCAAGACAAAATTTGGAAATGAACATGGGGCTGTGTGATGAACAATTTTTCCTCAGGACTAATATTTGCACATCACATCTCAAACCCTTTCCCATCCCCATACTGGAGAACTCACAGCAGCAGCAGAGTTTCAGGTCTGCACTGCAGGGCTTCTCTCTTTTACCCATTAGCACTGACTCAGTTATGCTACAAAAGTCAGAGAAAGACAAAAAGAGGGGGAAGAGCAATACAGGGAATGGCAGCAAGGAGTACATCTGGGCTGGCACACTACTGTTAGCAAAGAGGAAACTAATGTTATTAAAATTCTCAGGTACACAGAGAAATTCTAATGGATAATAAAGCAAGCAACAAAGTTTGTCTCTGTCTGGTGCCGTGTCACTGCATGCCAGGAGTTACATCTCAGCAGGGCAGTTGGCCTGGTCAGTGGGGATCATTTTATCGGTGTCGATCTTGTAGGACTGGAGAACTCCCTTCAGGTTCTCCACGGTTTCTGGGTGCATGTCAGGAGCTCTTGACAGAATCCAGGCGTAGTCCATGTGGAAGAGCCAGAGGATGTTGGTGCAGGAGTAAACCAGGGAGTAATTTTCATAGTCAGTGGAGATGACCCAGTAAGGGGCAGCAGGCATGACTAGGAGAGAGGAGGGCACTGTGTGTGATCACCGTGTGTAACCAGCTCTGGGCAGCTCTGCTGCACGCCAGCCACAGCTCCTGGGACTGCTCCCACTTTGGCTGCTGCACACTCATGGTCAGTACAGGCAGCTATAATTTATAAAAGCCTACCAGGACTCCTTGTTCTGCCCAGAAGAACTTGGGAAAGACACAAAGCCCTGACTGTGAAGGTCTTTCAGGAAAGCTAACGCTATGACCTGAACAGCTCTCCTGGGCTGAAGAAAGCCAGCCCAGCCTCACCAGTGTGGGGGTGCTGGCTGCCAGGAAGGAGCTGTAGTGCTGGGAGCTGACACTGGTGACAGGAGGAGCACAATCCACCACCCACTGCCATGGGGAACCCTGCCTTGGGAGCCAGCTGAGCCCAGAGCTGCTCTCTGGGGCTCACACCCAGTGAAGGTGGCTGGGGCTGCACCTGCTGCAGGTGAAATGGCTGTGGTGGTGCTGTAGCAGGGCAGAATTCAGTCTGGCTGTGCTCATGGGACAATGAGTGCCTTTCCAACTACCCCTCCCCCCATCTCTCCAAATAACCCCTCTGCAAAAGAGAGCTATGAAACTGCCAAAGAAAAGGTGGCAGGAGCAGAATAAAACAGGATCCAAGGGGACACTGCAGCTCACTTTCCAGCGTTGCTGCAGACAGAGGAAAGCGCTGGGCAATGTGGCACAGCACCTCAGCATGCCCCTGTGGAGTGTTAGAGTGACAAGGGAAGGAACAAGCTAACAAAACCATATTATTAATGGTTATTAAAAGCCACTTGTACGTAGAGGCAGCGTGGGCAAGTAGCTGTACCATAGTGTGCAGAGAAACACTATTCTTGGCTCCTGCGGCACTGTGGGGCTGCCTCCCCCACCTCCCCATCTCCATCTGTGGAATGACCTGGAGGGACAGCAAGGCTGCTGATCTCTCTGCTCTGAGACCTGGTGAAGAGTTCTCCACCAGGGAGGGGCCTGTTGCTGTAAATGGCATATCAGTGCCACCAAACCACTGCCTGCTGGCCACAACGTCTATTTCAGCCCTTTGCTGCTGTGCTGAAGCCACACGGGGAGCTCCACCCGCCCCAGTGCCACAGGACAACGGCCAGGGCACAGCCCTGCCCTGGGCACCACCAGGAGCCCTCCCAGCACACCAGTTTCACTTACACCAGTTAAAGCGCACGCCCAGCTTGGCCGGCTGCTTCACATCCATGTGCATGAGCTCTCCTTCAGCTTCATTGATTCTGCCATTGGCACTGAGGGGACAATGACAAAGGGGAGAAAAAGTCAGGAAAGTGGGAGATCCCTTTTTTTCACTTCCACTAAATCATCCCTCCTGACACAACTGCCTGCCGAAAGGTGGCTGAAATAGGTACTGGTAAACCCCTGCAGCCCTGAGGATGTTTTCAGCAGCACTCGGGGCACAGCAGGTCCCGGGCCAGGCGCAGCTGGGTAGATGATCACTCAGGTTAAACCATCCCAGCATCCCTGGCAGCTGGATGTCCTTTGGTTACAGGGTGAAAATGACAGAGGGGAAGGAGAGCAAGGCTGCTCTGCACTGGGTGGGAGGAATGCAGCATGGGAGGATCCCATCCATGATCTTGGATGAGCCAGGGAGCAGCTTAGCTCCTGGTAGTTGTGGAAGGCATGTGTTCACTTCTGTTTAATCACCTGTGCTTTTTTTCCAGGTCACTGCACATTCCTCCTCAGACAAATTACCTGTACCTGTGTGGTGAGCCAGGGTTTCTTTGGCTGTTCATTCAGAGCACTGCCCTGCTGGCAGCAAGCCCTAAGACTGGAGCTGCCCATCTCATAACAGCATTTTTGCACCGATGCCTCAAGACCTGGATGCTGCCTATCAGGCAGGAAAGTTTCATGTTTCCCAGTAAAACAGGAACAGCCAAGGAGGCAGAAGTGAAAGCTGCCAGCAGCAGAAGTCAAGGGCCTGATGCTGGAGCCATGCACACCCAAAATATCCCTGATATTTCAGAGTCCTGAGCTGCTGCAGCAGTGGCAGCCATGACTGGATGGATCTCACACAGATTAATGCAGGCACAAATGAATGTCCAGCTGTTTGCCAGGCACAGCCCGAGCAGTGGAGCTGCTGAGACAGTGCTGGGCACTCTGAATAGCTCTGCCCCAGACACAAGGGATGTGTTCCTGTGCTGCTGCTATTGTGAGCCAGAACACAGTGCCCATGCCATGCCAGGAGCACAGGGAACAGCGCTGCACTTGCTGCCTCCCATCCATTCAGCCCCTCATAGCAGCAGCCCACAACAGCACAGGCTGGTGATGGGAACAGATTCATTAACACCTGCATCTGTCCGTGTAAAAATCCAGGAGGACTCAGGATAATTGCAAACTATCCTAATTACCTAAAAAAGGGAAAAACATTCACTTCACCACTGATTTAAACTGACAATGATTTCCAATCCCCTTGCACAGCAGTTACTATTTGTGCAAGGTAAATACTCCAGAAACAAATATTTAAGTAAACACTACTCATGTTCTTCACCTTCCCTGCCCCTTTTCCTTTACTTTTTACTCTGGAGCAGAGAGGAGCACAAGGCACAGGCACTTCTGAGTATGCAGGGCCACAAGGTGGTAGCTGCCATCCCATAATCAGCCCCATGATTCCCCCAGAACAGGACCCAGGGCATCCAGCTTCTCAGCCATCTCTGGGGCTGACAAGCCTGTCAGAGGGGAGATTCAGGCTATTTTATGCTGAGGTCATCATGTACATTTGATCTATTTTCTTGTCACTCACCTTGACAATGAGACAGAGACCTGATGATCCTCAGGTGACCGGCAGGAACCAGAAGTCCATAACTCTCAGAAAGTGCTGCCTCCCCCAGCACCCTCAGCCCCAGCCACAGGAAATTTAGAGAAAAATGAACACAGAAGACAGCAAGAGAGGTGACAGCAGTGCCACTGCCACAGTGAGGACATGGCCCAAACACAAACACTTACAGCATCTCCTTGTTGATCACCTTGAACTTCCCATTCTCCTTCAATGAGTAATTTGCCTGGATGCAGCTTCCTTTCTCAAAAGTTGAGGGCAGCTTCTCTATCTCGTACCATTTCCCCAGATACTGACAGGAGAAAGTTTAAAGAGATGTTAAAAACATGAGTGAGCTGGGGCAGAGCAGCCTGTTTTTGTCCCTCAGTGGTTGGGACTGGGGTGAGCAGAGCTGCAGACCCACACTGGCACAAGGTGTGACCAGAGCTGCCACCACCCCTGCACCCAGGCAACTGCTGTCAGCCCCATGCCCACTTAGCTTAACTAGCTACACCCAGTGAGCTAGTTAACTAGAAAACTTTTTTCTAGAAAACTTTTCACACCTTGTTGATATCAAAGTCTTCTTGAACAGATGGATCTGGGCACGGTCCCATGTGAAACATCTGGCCTTTCCCAACGCTGAAGAGGCTGAGCAGGACCGAGAGCCGCACTGCCGTGCCCAGCATGGCTGCACTGGGATGCAGGTGGGAAATGCACCTGGGCAGAGGGAAAACAGCTGAGCTGGAGCCTCCCTGGAGCAGAGCTTTGTGAAACGCAGCACGAGGGATAGGACATGCAGCAGGGCCCCTCAGGGGCGCAGCAAGGAGGAAGGAATCATTAGAAGAGTGCCAAAGAAACCCCAAGCCCAAAACAGCCCTAAGCCCTGCCTGTGCTCAGGCTGTGCCCAGAAGCTCCAGGAAAAGCCAGGCAATGCCTGGTGAGAACACTCCTACTTATCACCCACATCTGACACCTGGCAAGGTGCAGGGGTGATAAACATCCAAGAACCCACAGGAGCATCACTGTTTGTCCAAAACTGAGGCAAGGGGAAATGCAGGATGTTTGCTTTAAAATGGTGGAGCACAAGGGACATACTCCTGAGCCAGCAGAGAGCTGGGGCCCTGGGACATGGATGTGAGCTCTGTACACCTGCATGGCAGGAGGGACATCCCCCAGTAAGCCAGGACTGCCTGACACTGCAACAGGGTGGGAGAGCTGCCTCTGGAGGAGTCTTTGTATGCCAGGATATACACAGCACTGCAAGGTGTGGAAGTTGGTACAGATTCAAATCAGCACCAAATACAACAGGAACAGACCCCCAAAAGCATGGGGTGAGGAGGGAAAGGACAGGTTTTCCTGGGTACAAGCAGAGCAGAAGCTGTGCTGCTTGTACCCAAACAGTTGCTGGAGCCAGGATGCCGCCCACAAGCTTTGGGCTCTGCTTAGGGCAGGATGGCATGCACAGACCCTGCAGCACTGGGCTGCTCTGCTTCCCTGGCTGGAAACTCCTGCACAGGAGCAGCAGTAACATTTTCCCCAGCTTCAGAAGAAAAGCCCAGTCTGCCTCCAGCTGCAGGCACAGACCGTTCCCAATTTGAATCTCCCAATTCAGACATACCTTGGTGGGCGAGGTGCAGTGATGCTCCGCAGAGGACCAGGGCAGCAAGGAACACCTCTGTGGTGAGCTCTCTGCTTCTCTTTATAAGTGTGCTGGGATCATCATTATTCAGCTCTGGCACAAGCCACTCCCTGGTCCTCGACGTGTTTAGGTTTTTGGCAGGCCAGTCAGCTGCCTGGGATCTGCAGCTGGTACGAAGCTGGAGATGGGCTGCAACTTGGCTGCTCACCCAGGCAAACAAAGGCACCCCACATGTCTGGGTACTGCCTGCAGCTGCAGAGCTCTCTGCCTTGCAGCCACTCACTAAAGCTCAGGCCTGGGTGCAAGTGGCAGGGGAAGGAGAGAAATGCCACAGCCTTTGAGAGGGGCTGGGGACAGCAGCAGCTCCCACCCAGTGCCCTCTGGTCCAGCAGCAGCCATGGCCATGCTCCAAGTGGGGACATGCAGCCTCCTCTGCCTCCTACTTGAGCCCTGGAGATCCTCCAGGCCACTGCAATGTCCTTGTCCCCATCACAGTCCCTTGCTGTGAGTAAATGAGGAGCATGAAGCAGTGGGATGCATCACAGGTTTCTCTGAGGAGCTGTAAGACCTTTCAGCAGTTTTCTTCTAGACTTTTAAATCTTATTACAAGGAAACATATGGTGCAATTAATTCCCTGCTGACCTGGCACTTTTTCCAACAGGTGCCCAGCAAATGCCTTTGACAGCAGAGCAGCCATCTGTGAAGGCAGCCAGTCCCAAGAGTTATACAAGAGTTGAGTAATTGACAGGAAGCTCTCTGTGTTTAATTACATTTTTATCTAATCTCTGATGAGACTTTCTCTCTCCAGATGTGTTTTTACATGCTGCCCTGCATGCCTTACTCACACACACACACGAGCTCCTGACTGCTCAAATGCCACTCCAGGAGCCACAGACAGCTCAGTCCTGTCCCCTTCTGGGGCTGTGCAGCCGAGATGTGCCCTGAAACAGCACAGCCAAGGTGTGTCCTAGCTCCTCAACAACCACCAGAGCTGTGCCTGGCTCACCCAGCACAGAGCCAGCAGCAGCACCTGGGGGTGAATGGCCCAGGGGAGCACATGGTCCATGGTCTGCCACAGCACCTGGCCATAACTGGGCTGGCACTGCCACTTTGGCTCCTGGCACTCCACAGCCAGAGTCACACCAGGGCATCAAGGTGCTCACCCAGCCATACTCCATGGTGTTGTCATCTTCTTGCAGGGGTTCCATACTGTTGTCTCCTTATCTCAAAAAGCTTCATACCTCCTTGGTGTTTCTTGTGGGCAGCTCCTCAGAGCACTCTTTCTTCTTCACAAAGCAGCAACTGACTCCAGTTCCCTGCTCAACCAGCCACCCCACTCTTTTATAGCACTCTCGTTCTCGTTGGTCACGGCTGTGGCCTGGTAAAGTCAGGCCTGTTCCTAATCTTTGATAATTGGCCCAGCTGCAACTCCTTAGTGGTAAGATTACTTTCTACACTATCTTTATTTTCTTATATTCTATCCCCCTACACCATGGAACTCCTGCTGCAGGAGTGTGCAGGAGTTGGCCATGGCCAGGATGCTGACAAGTCAGGAGCCAGCAGGAGCTGACACTCCTTGAGACCAGAGCCCGATCCATGTCCCACCTGTCATTTGCCCACAGCAGGAGCCTGCTCTGAGCCACTCCAGAGCAAGGGCTCGGGGAAAGCATAACCTTAAAATTGCACCTAATTGTGGGGTGGGATCTCAGTCATCCCCACCTGGTAAGCAGTTTGTGCCCTGGAGCAGAGGAGGGGCCACACATCAAAGGGCAGGAAGCTGGAGCAGGGGAGGGAGGACAAGAAGGAGGAAAGCTGTGGAGAAACCAGGGCAAGGAGGGGGGCCACCAGACATGCTCGGAATGTTCATGCAAGAATGAAACCTCCCCACATTTCTGGGCAATGAGGCAGCTGCAGGGCAGGCTGCAGGGCTGGGGCACAGTGGGGTCCCACGGGGCTGCAGGAGGATGAGGCAGCAGGGCAGGGGGGCTGGGTAGCAGTGGGTGCAGAGCACACACGGGCTGAGGTGGCATGAGCCACATGGCACGTCCAGGGGTGACAGCATTTACAGACAGACTGCACTGGCTGGGATATTCTCGCACTGCCAATCGTCCCTTTCAGAGACAAAGCTCATCTGGCTCCAGTGAGAGGATGCAATGGCACTGAATGCTGCCAGCAAAGAAAACCCCCTTGTTAAAACAAGCTAGAAGTGCAGAGAAAGTTCAGCCAGCAGAGGGTTAGGACAGGGCAGTGCCACCCCACCTGTGACATTCTACCTGCAGCAGACCTGGCTTAGTGCAGGAGTGAGATTGTCCTGCTGCACCTCCCAGAAACAGAGCAGCTTCAGCCAGGCAGGCCTGGTGGGGACCTGGCTCCCAGGGAGAGGCTGTCCTGCCACACTGGGTCTCCAGCTGGGATTTCAGCAGCTTGAGAACCAGGATAACCTGGGAGTGCTGAGGGTCCCACCATGGAGACAACATTGTTTGCGTGGACAGCTCTTCCTTTTTGCCACTACCTTTCATGGTGCCTTCCATTTTGTTTTTATTCCTTTTCTCCAGGAAATGGGGCTTTGTGCTGGCCAACAAGTTGCAACACGTATATAGAAAAAAAATCAACAAGTAGGAGACAAGACAGAGTAAAGAAAAGCAGGTGGGAATTTTCCTCTGTTTCTAGGAGTGGCAAAAGGTGCTTTGAAATTCTGTTTATGCAGAATGGTGTAAAATTTTTAATTACACTTACGACAGCAAAGGAAGTAAACAGACTCTGGATGCATGAGCTGGCCTCTGGGATATGGGAACTTGATCCCATGCAAGTGCACAAAAGATGTGGTGATTAATTTATATACAATTAGTGAGTAGCTCTCCACCTTGGAAGGCATCCAATTATGTATTCAAACACAAGAAACCAAAGAGAGAGAATTTAGGCACTTAGAAAACAAAAAAGGGTGTTATTATTTAAGGGACAGCCCCTATCATGCAGGACCAGCAGTGTTTCTGGCTGTGCTGAGGAAGGCTCCTCAGCCTGACTGGCATGGCTGCCAAGGTCTGAATCCCTGCAGAGAGAGAAGCCAGAGGGATATTTACCCTTCAGAAAGTGGAAAAAACAAAACAGAGAGAAGGAAAACAAGGCCTCTGTATGCAGAAATACATTGCAGATCTGGACCAGTGACAAAGCTTTGGCCCAGTGCCATCTCACCCCTGTGGATGTGCACACCATAAAAACAGGAGTATAAGCAGTGCCTGTAATCCTGGGGGTTTGCTACATTCCAGTGTCCCACATGAAGGGCTGCCTGATGCTGCTAAAAAAGGTTTTAAAAGTTTCGTTGATGCATTTACTGCTGTGTTCTCACAGCAGACCCTGGGTACAGGCAGAGCAGGCATTCAGCCAGGTTTGTTCTCACAGAGGGGAGGGAGGAGCGCGCAGCCTAAGGGGGCAGAGGACATCTCCAAAGGATGTAGGAGCAGATCCATGGGCATTTACCAGACTCCTGTGGGCTCTGTCTGGGAATGCCCACTCAGATTTGAGCACTGTGGGCACTGCAGGGCCCTGGCTGTGTGACTCAGCTCATCCTCTGTGCCCCACTGAGCCCAGCCCAGAGAGCACCCCAGCTGCCCTGCCCCGCATCCCCTTCTCAGAGGAGACCTCCCACAGTCCCCACTGGATTCATTATGCTTTTTTTCTCAACCAGAAACATACTGTAAATGATCTAAAAAATGTCATTAAGCATGTTTAGAGAGCTTTTTCTGCAAATGAACTTTCTATTCTCATGGAGGAAGCACAGTGATTGGTTCACAGCATCACCAGCTCTGTCCAAGAGATGCCCAAGTTAGGCTATTTAAAGCCCACAGCTCTATTTTCTGAGGCTAAGCCACATTTCAGCCCTTAGCCCAGGCATGCTTTAATGCAGTTACACAATTATATTTTCTATGACCTATATAGAACCTACATCTTCCTCACGACACAGATTTATAGCGAGTGGGTAATCACAGCTCTGCTCATGGAAAGAGAGAACAGCCCCTATTATGTTAAGGAATGCAATTAAGAAATCTTTCTGCAGATTATGCTGTCCTGCAGCCAAGCAGGAAGCCCTTTGGCAGGGTTTGGGCTCTCCTGTTGCCAGAGCACTTGGGAGCCTGCTTCAAGTCAGCAACTTGCATTCCTGGGCACCAGGAGCCCAGGAATCACACAGGGAGTTCAGGGCTGGCCTCAGACTCTCAGATATCCCTCACTCTTAGGCCTTAAGGCTGTTTTATGTATGTTTTATATGTGCACCAGGAAGATCCAAGGGCAGCATTTTGCCCTTGAAGGACTTCTTGACCAGCCAGCCCAGCATTTCCATCCCATATCTCTGAGTGCCCCCAGTCTCACACCACAGGTCAGAGGAGAATTTTAAAAATATCCTTTCTGAAAGAGCAAGTCTCATCCCTCCACACAGGCTGAGAGCACAAAGACACTGGCATATGTGTTTGGCTTTGCCTGTGAATAGCTGCATTGAGGCCACCGAGCCCAAGCACACACCGCTTGCATTGAAACACAGGCCTAAGTGTTTGCTAGACTGGAATTTACATTGTACAGAAAATAAATAACATAAATTCAGTGGTCAGTGCTCTGACTTTGGTGCAAGGCATGGTTACAGTATGAAATGGCACAAAGATGCCATTCATGGTGAGTTTCATTCAAACCAGTTGGGAGATCTTAGGAATGATTACTTTAGACAATATTTAAAATGCTTCTATCTGTGCTGCAGCCCAGGAATATTAGTCAGGTGTGTATTTCAGTGAAAAGAGATCTGACTTGAGGACATGCATGCATTTTCCACATGCCACACCTTGCATTCCCTGATATAATTATTCTTGAGAGAAGGTTGTTACCCATGGACTAGAACAAAAGCTTCTTGTACCAGGACAGATGTACAGAAGTGTAGCAACTTCCTTGAGAGGCAACAGATCAACCTGGGACTGATTTTGATTCTGTAAGTGCCCATGCACAGACAGAGCTGGCAGCCAGCTCCTGGCTTGTGCCTGCAGGAGGGAAAGCTGCCTGAAGCAGGAGCTGGGGGCTTCCTGCTCCTCTCAGTGCCTGTTAGTGCTGCAGGAAGGGAGCAG